TTATTGAATGAATGATTAGTAAGTGGATGATGGATAAAGACATAATTCTTGTCCTCAGGAGACCACTAGAGAGTTCACGATCTAGTGAAAAATTGGCATTCTGTATAACACACATGTGCTGGAAATTTCAACAGTAGAAAATCATGTGACATCCACCCAGCCCACACACTAGAATGTGAAATGTCAGTTATTGCAATCTGTCATTCTTGACTAATGAATCTGTCTATGAATTTGAAACACTAAGTTTTAAATTTATTTTAATAACTTCACTTTAAATAGTGGGTCTTCAAAAGAGATAAAGGTGAAGAAGTATTTTAAAATCACTCAGTATATGAAATGTAAAATTTCATTTTTTGAATGAAAAGATTTTGAATTTAACCTTATGCAAAGCACTTCCATAGTGTTATTAGGTTTCTGTGAAGAGATACCTTAGTGCTCTTTTAACGCAACTATTTTGTGAAATAAAATCCCATTTATAATGTTTTCTAGAAAGTTCTTGTCCATACTCACTTTTATGGTATCCAGTTTCTAAATTATTAAGGTAAAAATATAGAAAGTAGGTTCATTGACTGGTCCAGCTTAACTGTTTGACTGCTTTTAGCCAACTAAATAATGGTTCCTTTTTTGGATGGAAGGGGAGAGAAGCCGGGATTCTTTATGAAGGTTGTGAGAAATAGGAATCAATTGAAGGGAGAAGGTTGACAGTATTTATTATGTCTGTGAAAAATTTGAAAGAAATCCATTTATATCACTGGCGAACAAAGTGATTTTAAAAACCCTATGTAACAATAAGAGCCATTAAATATTTATTGATTCACATAGTAGGTGTTTGATGAGTGCATTGGGCATTCTAATAGGGTATACTGAGCATTCAAGGAGATTAAGTGCCAGTTCCTATCGTCACAGAGACTAGAGGAGGAGATAGGACAGGTAAATAAGGATTGCATATTGTTTTACTGTTCAGATAGATGATGAATGACATCTAGAGTGTTGAGTCTTGAAAAGTGAATGACTGGCAAAGTGGGAAAAAGTATTACAGACTTTGTAGCATTCAACAGACTTTTATAGAGCACTTGGGAATCTAAAATGGAAAAAAAAAACAAAACGAAGAACAAATCTAAAGAGTTATCTTAGAGCAGAGTCAGCTTCTGTCTGACAGTATGTATGTATGTCTGCTAGCCTTGAGCTTTCATTTTTATTGGACCTTGTGAGATCCAGACACCAAGACAGTGTCGATGCACAGTAGTATTAGTAATACCAAGCAAGGTGGGCATTCAAACCTGATAACTCTGCTAAATGTGAGACCCCTTTACAAAGACAAGAGCTTCACTAGAGACCAAACACATACAATAAAAACCTTAATTTTGTTAGAAGGAAATGACGATGAAGCTTGAGTTTGAGGGAAGAAGAAAGAGAATTTTCATTTTATAGTTCATAACCACTTGAGATTAACTCAGATATTACCATATCTCAGAAAACTGTAAAGTGAGAAATTTAATGTTACTGTGAGTTGAAAGGTTTCTCAGATACCTGGAGGAAAGACAAATTATTTTTTGAAGAATTGGTCTTAATCCCAGTTGAATATAATTGCTATTTCTATTATATATATGTTTATAATTAAAAAAAATCAACCAGAAGCATGAATGAAGGCATGGTGTCTTTATGTGAGTGGCATATACCTCGCTCTCTAGCTCTCTCCCAATGAAGAGTTCAAGCTTAGAACCTTTACTGTGAGAGAAAGGATGTTAAGAAAGCTAGTGGGTGTGATACTCTGTTGGTGGGTGTAGTGTTCTAGAAATCTGGGATGTTGCCCTATTTCCTTAAATCACAGGGAGTATGGTAAACCATTGTTACCTGGATTAAAAAAAAAACAAACCAAAACCAAACCCAAAACAACAGCAAACCAAAGGAGAGGTGTCAAAGTGGTATAGGATCTGACTAGCCAAGTTTGGCATTATGAGCGTTAAAAAGAACAGCGATGGAAGTAGACGATGCACTGAGTAAAATAAAGGCCCTTATGTCACCACTCCCTGGTTACTTATCGATAGTC